AGAATATACGGTCTGTACAGTATAAAAACCATTACGCCTATGGGATGTCCCCACTTTTCACAAAAACAAACCTGTCTGTGTGTGTGTGTGTGTGTGTGTGTGTGTGTGTGTGTGAAAAATATATTATTTAAAAGATTATTTGCTGAAGTAAAGAAAACCAAATGATGAGGCCTCATAAATGGTGTCTTGGTAAAGGTATAAGAGACATATGAGGTCCAATAAAAAAACATCTTTGTAAACCATGTCTACATTTTTACTGAGCTACTCAATAATTCTTTAGGCATTGTTAGTCAATAACTGCATTGCTTAATCTGATTTTCTAGGGAAATTCTTGAAATATGTAGCTTTGAGCAAGTTTTTGGACAGGTGAGAACTTGTCTTTTCTCTCCTGCTGCATCATCCACCCCTATTTCTCAGGGGAGAAAACAGGTTATTTGAGACCTTTAGACGTGGAAGTCTTCAACAATGGATGTGCCGGAGCAAACACGGTCAGTCAGCTTACCTCGGAGTCTCCGAAAAAGAGAAAAGTGGTCAGACATGACAAACATGTTTCAGCGGACCTGTCGACTGGAAATCAATGTACCCACACAAATTGTGCATGTCGTTGGTACGGAACTTAAGGTGATTGTAGACAGGTAATGTGACAATATTATAATCCACTGTTTTCCTTCACTGTGTTCTTAAAAAAATTTGCACGTTGCATGAATTGAGGAACTGTATAGCAGTAGCCAAGCCCACATTATAAATACATTGGAGCTGTTTTTAGCATAAAAGATACAAATTGTGTGCTAACTGTAAACATTAAATGCATTTTTTTAATTAAAAGACTTTAATTATCATTTTCATATCATATTCATGGGAACAAAGCGCCTATAGTAACTTTAAAAGTAACCCTCAACTGTGTTTCAAATGTTTGATTAACTTATCTTTGCATTAAATTGAAATGAAAATAATATTAGAGTATGTTTCATTTATTTATGTACTTATTTATTGCAAGCCTTGTGTGAAAACTGAACAATGAAAAAAATATTTGACTACATTTTGTCATGATACTAAGAATTCTAAAAACAAAAACTGCAAAGATCAGCGCTAATTAATATTAGTCTAACTTAAATGTTAAGTAAATACTAAAAAAGATCATGAAAAAAAAAGATCATGGGTAATGATGGATATTACAAAAACATTTGTGCAATATTAACTCCACTGTAAACAGACTATAAAATGTTGCTTCTAGACGACAAACCAATAAGCTTAGCATTTAAATCCTCCATAGCACAGAAATAATTTAAATGGCTCTAAATGTAATAAAATTAAGTGTACTCACTAACAAATCTGAATTATATTTTGAATGAGTGAAAAATAATGGCTTGACTGAAGGCAGTTCTTCAGAACAAAATATGTGCAGCCTCCACACGGTGCACCATGACAGAAAAAGATATAAAAAATCACAAATAAATAGCTTTTTATTGGTTTATTCAAAGCCATCCCCTTGCCAACAATTTACTGTCATCGTATTTGCATCATGTGCTTCCAAATTGAAGAAAACGGTTTGTTATCCTGAGGCAACACGCCGGTGCAATACTGGGACAAATGAGTTCAGTCGCGCTGGCGTTAACAGCGCCCTCTAGCGTCAGTCGCTATGCGGCATACTGAGGGCGTTTCCAGTCAGCTGAAGTCTTCCCAGTTCCCTAGACATCCATCCACCTGCATTCGGTCAACCAATAGGCTTTCTGGCACGGTGACATCTCAAGTACATAAAGGGTTAAACGAAATTGTCAAAGTCACTTTGAAAGGAAGACGCATCTTTGCAAATCATGGTGCCCCGACGATCATTTACAATTGACACCGAGAAAACGACAAGGACGACATATGTGCTCGGAACGGAGTTGACGGTGAATTTAAACAGGTGGGCGAATGTATTTTTCATGCATTATGTGAATGGACTCGTATGAATATTAGAACGTCGTTTTAAAGGGGCAACCACACGGGATGCGTTCTTGCGTTTGTAAACAGCACGACGGAGCTCAAGGGAATTAAACACAGCGGTCTATTTTAATAGCGCGAAAGACATATTTAAAGGGACAGTTCGCCCAAAATCGAAAGTCCCTTTATCATTTACTCGCACTGTTGTTGTTGTTTCAAAACCCGTTTGACTTTATTTCTTCCGTGGAGAACAAAAGGATACGTTAGAGAGTGTTTGTTTGGATCTGACAGACGCAGTCTCTATTCGCTTTCGTTGCATATGAGTGAATGGTGACCAAAACTGTCAGTCGCCAACATTATTATATAAAACATAAATAAAATGTATGTTTACATGCTACAAACGTGCATTCCTGCTAGTTGTCTAATAGGAATTATTTTTTTCAACATTGTTTGTGATCAATGTGAAATTGACTCAGAAACTCAGTTACTATACAAGTAACAAGTTCTAAAAAAAATCAAGCAAATGGTTAAAGCATGTTACTGTCTGACAACTGAGTTTAATTTAGATCAAAGGAATCTATTTAAGGAATTTAAATAGAAAATAAAAGGATTCATTTCAAAATTACTATTATTATTTTGACAAGCACATCATTACAGACTCTGGGAACCCAAACAGTCGGTCTAAACACAATGTCACTAAAAAAGGATGCATGTATACACACCAGACCAACAATTGAAATATAACACAGATGATATGAATTTAATACAGTTTTGCTAACATGGTTTATAGCTAAAATGGTCTATTGTTTTATTGTTTGTAAAGTTTCTAAACTATTCATTGCCAACATCATTCTGGAATGAACTGCGTTTTCAATATTTGCAAATATCGATCTGTTTGTCATAATTGATCTGTTTGTTCTGCATATTTGCTGGGAGAATTCAGGGGGCATTGATGATTGAAGAATTTCTTCTTTCAGTTCCAATTCCAAAGGCGGATGAATGCACTTGTTGTGCTGCTACATTATTTAAATTCATCACTGAACTCCGTCTCAATGCTTCTGTTTATAAAAGCCATTGTCGGCTATTGTCTTTGATAGCTTTCCAAACCTCCTAATAGCTCTTTTCTTTAGGTTTTTAAAAGACCTTTTTGTTTTTATCAGCCCATACTGAAATAGACAATCCCCCAGCAACATCATCATGACTAGCGCCTGTTGTCTTAGAAGATATAATTGAATCCTATATCTGTTATAAATAACCCACTATCTAATGCAGTAATTATTACATTTGGGTTGGTGACATGTCATGTTCCAGAGTGTCATCAGTGGTGTGACATGCTTGAGCTAATCATTTAAATCCATTTTAAATTACTTTTTTAAAATTCATGTCAGAAAATGTTGGTCCTCATGGTTTAAAAGTTAGATTTTTTTTTTATTCTCAGTTTATATGTGGATTTTACTTGACATGGTATATTACTAAATGGTCTTTAAGTGTTGTCCACAGGTTATGAGTCAGCTCCTTTTTCCCATCATATTTGCCAGTAAATCAAAAACTTTGTCATAATGATATCATCCCTTCAAGAAGAGATTTCTTCATACAGAATTTCCTTTTTAACATCAGCATTACATTCTCTTTCTAAGAACCACATTGTAGATTCACAACCTTAAGCATAAAGCTGCCAAACCAAACTCTCAGCTTTGTTACCTTTGGGTTTGCAATTTACAATTTAAAAGAACTGTTTTCTATTTTAATATATTTTAGTAAATTTTTATTCCTGTGGTGGCAAAGCTGAGTTTTCAGCATTATTACTTTAGTCTTCATTGTCACATGATCCTTCAGAAATCATTCT